GATGTTCCTGGTCTGCAGTGGTCAGGACCAACCAAAAGTGGTCCAGGGAAGGGAAACAGGGTCATTGGTGGCCAAGTCTTTTTGATGCAGGTGGGGATTAAAGGTTGGCATGTGCAGTCCAATCCAAGAGAAGAGCTACTGTATCTCAAAATGCTGAAAAAGTTAATGCTGCTTCTGATAGGTGTCAGAACACACAACGCATCACAGTTTGTTGTGTATGGGGATGCGTAGCCACAGACCAGACATGATGTCCATGCTGACCCATGCCCACAGCCAAAAGTGCCTACAATGAGCACGTGAACATCAAAACTGGACCACAGAGCAATGGAAGAAGGTGGTCTGGTCTGATGAAATCAAGAATGGCTTGAGGAACACAACAACAAGTTTGAGGTGTTGACTTAGCCTCCAAATTCTCCAGATCTAAATCCATTTGAGCATCTGTGGGATTTGCTGGAAAAACAAGTTCAATCCATGGAGGCCCTATCTAGCAACTTACAGGACTTAAAGTAGCTGTAAACCCTTTCATATGAGCAGTGAAGTTAGTCCAGTCCCTTTCTTGTCTGTTGCATGTTAGTGTGAACCTGCTCTCATCTGTGAAAAGCACAGGGCACCAGTAGCAGACATGTCAATTCTGGTGTTCAATGGCAAATGCCAATCAAGCTCTATGGTGCTGGGCAGTGAGCACAGGGGCCACTAGAGGACGTCGGGCCCTCATCATGAAGTCTGTTTCTGATTGTTTGATCAGAGACATTCACACCAGTGGCCTGCTGGAGGTCATTTTATAGGGCTCTGGCAGTGCTGATCCTGGTCCTCCCTGCACAATGGAGAAGATACCGGTCCTGCTGATGGGTTAAGGACCTTCTTCGGCCCTGTCCAGATCTCCTAGAGTAAAAGGTTGTCTCCTGGAATTTCCTCCATGCTCTTGAGACTGTGCTGGGAGACCCAGCAAACCTTCTGGCAATGGGACGTATTGATGTGTGGCAGAATCTGGCTCTCTTGATGAGTGCGTATGAAGGGAATAGTAGAGGTTAGTAAATTTCTTTGAATATGGATTCGGCTACAACACAGTAAAGGGATCTGGTGCTGAAACCAACTTCTAACTGTAAAAGAAATTCAAGATCTCTCATAAAGAGCACTGCATCCAGTTGGGGTACAAGCACGTTCCTACATATTATAGAATAATCTCAACGATAGCAGACTTGATTGGCTCTTGTGTGAGCCTAATTGTGTGAGAATATCCTAACTGGAAGGGCTGCAGGCAGTAGTCTACACATCATCATGATGCCACAACACATTTCTTTTTATAGTTTTTTTTTTTATTAAGGCTTTCAACAAAAGAATAGAACCAGTTAAAGAGGCTCCTTGTACATGGGGGCATGTACAGTCGCTGTTGTGTGTTCATCTATGGCACACTTTGGCTGGACAGAGTGAAACGCGTGTATAGGGCCCCGTGTGTTCAGGGATGAATGTCCAGAATACAGGTGTTCTGCCTTCATACTTCAGTCAGCCATAGATCTTGACAGGCAGTGCATTTAAAATGCTGAGTTAGATGCACAGCACACAGATGCCCCTGTCTGCAAGGGGCATTACTGTTCGTAAGATATACAAAATGAAACATCAACAAGTACACTAACAAATTATAAGAGAACAGCTAATTAACTGGAAAGGTAATGGTCCATGGTAGTACACTCTATCCTAGATTTATTGTATTTATACAGAAACTTTGAACATAAATTAAAGAATTAATTAGAGCTGTTGCTGAGAGATGCTATAATATGTCCATGTAGGGTTGGGATTTATGACTCTAATTATCCAGGTAGTCATTTCTCTGTTGTAATATAATTAGAAAGAAAGTGGAGTAAAAAGTAAATTGATGGGGGACCAAATGGTCAGAAATTGTCATGCTGTCAGGACCTATGCATTGCTCCCAACTGCTCCTCATTGGGGAGGGGGGGGGGGACTGCCCCTATTTTGGAGACAAATCCCTCTGTCCCTAGTTCCTCCTCAAATGTCCCTATTTTTGGTCTCAAGTGTCAACCTCTGTACTATTGTATGTACTGTGTACTATTTAATTACCAAATGGGTTATCCTACCCTAAAACTTTTATCCAACCCCTATTTAAAGTCTTAAGTCCCCTACACATGAGGTGGACTGAACGAGGAGTCCACCTGCTCAGTGGGTGATCTGTCCACTGATCTCCACTGAGCATGTCTACTCCACTTATGCAGAGCGGACACAGACACAGCCCGCTATCCTCTATGGGCAGTCGGATGTAAATGGACTGCCTGGCAGTTTACACCTGACTGCCATCCGATCTGCTAGACGGATGGGGAAGGGATATCCAACCATCTGATTGGATGTAGGTGGGTGTAAAAGGACATACGATCATTTAACACCCACCTCTTCATAAAGGGGTATGGAGGGTCCGATCAAGTCTGCGTGGAAAACTGACAGGTGGACCCAATTGGCTTTTATAAAAGCTTTGCTTAGAAAATGTGCAAACATGAAAAAATCCCAAATGCATAAGAAACAGTCCTTTCCCAATGTTCCTAATCCCTAAATCAGGCTTCTGTGCTGCCCCGACATACCTTTACAGGTTGAGTCCATGCTGGTGTCTTCAGGAGGACTACAAGTCTCAGCAGCTCCATAGATGTTGGCAGGCTCCTCATGGCAGGCATAATTCAGTGATGACAGATAGCCGAGAAGGTAGCTGAAGGAGAGCCAAGCAGAGCCCCTCTGGGCAGATGGTGTGCTGAAGGATCTGGTTACATCCAGTCGATCCTAAACTCAGCGGCCAGACTCATCCACCTCACCAAGCGCTCCACATCTGCCTCCCTCCTCTGCCAATCCCTTCATTGGCTCCCGATTGCCCAACGCATCAAGTTCAAGCTGCTAACCCTGACCTACAAGGCCATTCACAATGCCGCCCTGAACTACATAACTGACCTGATACCCAGATACTACCCTACCCATGCCCTCCGCTCCTCACAGGACCTCCTGCTCTCTAGCTCCCTGGGCTCCTCCTCCTCCCACGCCCGATTGCAGGACTTCTCCAGGACCTCCCCCATCCTCTGGAACTCCCTACCCCAATCCATCAGACTGTCACCTACCCTCCTCACCTTCAGGCGCACCCTGAAAACCCTCCTCTTCAGGGAAGCCTACCCCAACCTCACCTAACACCGACGTCGCCTAACAACTAACCTCCTCCATTCCACCCACCACTCCATCCCCCACAGCCATCTCCTCTTGTGCCACCTTCCCTCCCTCCTAGATTGTAAGCTCGAAAGAGCAGTTCCCTCGAACCCCTCGTGTAGTGTATGGTTCTTGTCTCATGTTATGTCCTCCTTGCTACTGTACAGCGCTGAGCATACCCTTTGGCGCTATATAAATACTGTATAATAATAATAATAATACATGGTAGCTGTCAGCCAATCCTGCTCCCATGTAGCAGGACTCATCTGGGAGCAGCTCCCTCCTGATTTTACATGCTCTGGGAAATGGGGGCAGAGCCCAGCAGCAGCTCACCAAAAACACCCCAGAAAAAAGTTAACTCTGTCCCTTATTCCTCCTCAATTGTCCCTCTTTTTTGGTCTCAAGTGTCAACCTCTGTACTATTGTATGTACTATTTAATTACCAAATGGGTTATCCTACCCTAAACCTTTTATCCAACCCCTATTTAAAGTTTTAAGTCCCTTCCACATGAGGCGGACTGAACGAGGAGTCCACCTGCTCAGTGGGTGGTCTGTCTGCTGATCGCCACTGAGCAGATGGATGGCTGCCAGGCAGCAGCTAACTAGCAATTTCCATCCTGCCTACATGGTGTCCCTTTTTCTTTCAGAAAGTTGGTAGGTATGCCTAAAGCTAGTAAAAAACATATGGCAGGGCAAAAAAATATATGCTGTTCATCTCTCTGTGATACATGCACATTTCCTCTTGTTTTATCCCTTTAAAGAACCTATACAGGTTCTTTAAAGGGAAGTGGGTCTGCCATTTGATGTGCCATACAACTACATTCAGGGGCTGGAAAACCTGTGAATTCACAAGCTGGTTAGATAACCTATGGATTTAAGGGCACATTTTTACACACCTGGTTTTGTACATTCGTTAATTCAGTTTCTTGTGTTTCTAGACAAATATAGATAGAATGATAATGTGCACATTAGTAAATAATTTATTGCATTTGAATCTGACGCATGCTGCCTGGAACCTTTGGGAAGCATGTATGCATATCCCCAGGTAGTGGTACGAGGGAGCAGTGCTTCTATGAAGGATGAATGATAATGGGGTCAATTCACGAAGATAAATACTGCATACATCATTGAGGTAAGATAATTCATGTGGTATTTATCTCACAAGTAGTCAACTGACTAAAAAACGTGTGTTATTTACCTAACGTGTTAAATATTATGTTTTGCAATATTTATCACATAAATTTAGCATTATTTTTGGTGTTTTTTAGCAGTTTTTACACCTGCTAACACTTCACCAGAGGAAGATAGTTCTGTAAATACAGGTAAAGGCACACAGACATATTATGAAACTGAAAACATTCTAGTGTGCTTTCACTACAGAACAATCTCCCTCTGGTGAAATGTTACAATTTATTTCCATTCCTGAGCTCAGGGCAGAACATTTACACACTGATACATTGTATAATTTTACCTTATTGGCCAGCGCAGTTTCCCTCATTGTTATTTTGAACATTGCAAAAATACTGACTGCCTACTGCCAGGTGATAAATAACAAATGTGTGTGTTCTTTAGTGAATTGACTTTAATGTTATCTCATTATTTTTTGCAATATACCGTATTTTGCGCTCCATAAGACACACCTGACCATAAGACGCACCTAGGTTTTAGAGGTGGAAAACAAGAAAAAAAATATTTTGAACCAATGGACTGCAGACATAGTACAAGAGATGACCAGAGACTACAGACACAGTACAGGAGATGACCGGAGACTGCGGACACAGTACAGGAGGTGACCAGAGACTGCGGACACAGTATAGGAGATGAACAGAGACTGCGGACATACTACAGGAGATGACCAGAGACTGCGGACATAGTACAGGAGATGACCAGAGACTGCAGATATACTACAGGAGATGACCAGAGACTGTGGACACAGTACAGGAGATGACCAGAGACTGCAGACATAGTACAGGAGATGACCAGAGACTGAGGACGTAGTACAGGAGATGATCAGAGACTGCGGACACAGTAGAGGAGATGACCAGAGACTGCAGACATACTATAAGAGATGACCAGAGACTGCAGACATAGTACAGGAGATGACCAGAGACTGCGGACACAGTACAGGAGATGACTAGAGACTGCAGACATACTGCAGGAGATGACCAGAGACTGCGGACACAGTACAGGAGATGACCAGAGACTGCGGAACAGTACAGGAGATGACTAGAGACTGCAGACATACTACAGGAGATGACCAGAGACTGCGGACACAGTACAGGAGATGACCAGAGACTGCGGACATAGTACAGGAGATGACCAGAGACTGCAGACAGTACAGGAGATGACCAGAGACTGCAGACATACTACAGGAGATGACCAGAGACTGCAGACACAGTACAGGAGATGACCAGAGACTGTGGACATAGTACAGGAGATGACCAGAGACTGCGGACATATTACAGGAGATGATCAGAAACTGCGGACATAGTACAGGAGATGACCAGAGACTGCAGACAGTACAGGAGATGACTAGAGACTGCAGACATACTACAGGAGATGACCAGAGACTGCGGACACAGTACAGGAGATGACCAGAGACTGCGGACATAGTACAGGAGATGACCAGAGACTGCGAACATATTACAGGAGATGATCAGAAACTGCGGACACAGTACAGGAGATGACCAGAGACTGCGGAGACATAGTACAGGAGATGACCAGAGACTGCGGACATACTACAGGAGATGACCAGAGACTGCGGACATACTACAGGAGATGACCAGAGACTGTGGACATAGTACAGGAGATGACCAGAGACTGCAGACAGTAGAGGAGAGATGACCAGAGACTGCAGACATACTACAGGAGATGACCAGAGACTGCGGACACAGTACAGGAGATGACCGGAGACTGCGGACACAGTACAGGAGATGATCAGAGACTGCGGACACAGTACAGGAGATGACCAGAGACAGCGGACAGTACAGGAGATCACCAGAGACTGTGGACAGTATAGGGGATGACCAAGAGACTGCAGAGAGTACAGGGGATGACCAAGAGACTGCGGACAGTGCAGGAGATGACCAGAGACTGCGGACAGTACAGGGGATGACCAGAGACTGCGGGCAGTATAGGGGATGACCAAGAGACTGTGGACAATATAGGGGATGACCAAGAGACTGCGGACAGTATAGGGGATGACCAAGAGACTGCGGACAGTATAGGGGATGACCAGAGACTGCGGACAGTACAGGGGATGACCAGAGACTGCAGACAGTGCAGGGGATGACTAAGAGACTGCTGACCTTTGGGGAGGGAGGGGGAGTGGGTACCTGAATTTGACAGGTACCCGCTCCCACTTCCGCGGAGTTGTCTTCCCTTTAGTGTGGGCACCCAGCTGACAGCTGGGTGCCCAGTGCACATGCATGAGAAGCGCTGCGCTTTGTGATTGGTCCGGCATCTTCTGGGACCTGTCATGTGTCCCAGAAGACGCCGTACCATTCAAAAAGCGCAGCGCTTCTTGCGCATGTGCACTGGGCACCCGGCTGTCACAGCCGAGAGCCCACACTAAAGAAGCCGGCGCGGGAAGACTGTACAGCGTTGGACCGAGGAACAGGTAAGGTTCTGCTGCAGAGAAGAGCTGAGCGGGCGGCCCGGTATTCTGACACGGCGGCTGTGGAAATACCGGATTGGCCGCTCAATATTCGCTCCATAAGACGCTCAGACATTTTCCCCCCATTTTGGGGGGAAAAAAGTGCGTCTTATGGAGCGAAAAATACGGTATACCTCGGTTTACGAATTTAATTCGTTCTGCGGGACTTTTCATATTGCAAAATATTTGTAAAGCGAAACACGGTTTCCCATAGGAATGCATTGAAAACAAATTAATCCGTTCCGGAGGTCAGAAAAAAGTAAAAAAAAAAAGTCTTTTATCTGTTCAAAACTCTTTATAAAGTGCACTTTAAAGGCATAAAGGGACATGATTAAAAAAAAATTGTAAATGCATTGAAAACCAAATAATCTGTTCCGGAGGTCAGATAAAAGTAAAAAAAAGTCGAATCTGTTCAAAACTCTTTATAAAAGTGCTCTTTAAAGGCATAGTACTGTACAGGGACATGATTAAAAAAAAATTGTAAATGCATTGAAAACAAATTAATCTGTTCGTATTGCGAAAAAAATTCGTAAACTGAGGCATTATTTTCAGTGGATTTTCATTCGTAAACTGAAAATTACGTTAACAGAGGAGTTCGTAAACCGAGGTACTCCTATACCTCACATTCAATATTTTACTTTGATGAATTGACTCTTTTGTTATCTCATGCAATATTTGCAAAAAATGAGTTATGTGACCTTCGTATAGCATACGGAATCCTTTAGTGAATTGACCGTAATATGATTAGTGATGAGCCGAATGCCCAGGGTTTGGATTTTGGGTAAGTTTGCAAACTTAAAGCAGAACTAAAGTATAATATAAAAAACTGAGCAGGCAGGCTTCTTATTACAGAAGAGGCAAAAAATGTGTCTTCTGCAATAATATATGCACTATATTGCCAAAAGTATTGGACTCCTGCCTTTACATGCACATGAACTTTAATGGCATCCCAGTCTTAGTCCATAGGGTTCAATATTGAGTTGGCCTGCCCTTTGCAGCTATAACAGCTTCAACTCTTCTGGGAAGGCTGCCACAAGGTTTAGGAGTGTGTCTATGGGAATGTTTGACCATTCTTCCAGAAGCACATTGAGGTCAGGCACTGATGTCTGACGAGAAGGCCTGGCTTGCAGTCTCCACTATAATTCATCCCAAAGGTGTTCTATCATGTTGAGCTCAGGACTCTGTGCAGGCCACTCAAGTTCCTCCACCCTAAACTCGCTCATCCATGTCTTTATGGACCTTGCTTTGTGCACTGGTGTGCAGTCATGTTGGAACAGGAAGAGGCCATCCCCAAACTGTTCCCACAAAGTTGGGAGCATGAAATTGTCCAAAATGTCTTGGTATGCTGACACCTTAAGAATTCCCTTCACTGGAACTAGGGCCAAGCCCAACCCCTGAAAAACAACCCCACACCATAATCTCCCCCTCCACCAATTTTTACCCTTGGCACAATGCAGTCAGGCAAGTACTGTTCTGGTAACTGCCAAACCCAGACACGTCCATCGGTTTGCCAGACAGAGAAGCATGATTCCTCTCACTCCTTATTTACACCACTGCATCCAATGCTTTGCATTGCACTTGGTGATGTAAGGCTTGGATGCAGCTGCTCGGCCATGGAAACCCATTCCATGAAGCTCTCTATGCACTGTTGTGCTAATCTGAAGGCCACATGAAGTTTGGAGGTCTTTAGCTATTGACTCTGCAGACAGTTGGGAATTCCTGTACACTGTGCACTTCAGCATGCGCTGACCCAGCTCTGTCATTTTACGTGGCCTACCACTTCGTGGCTGAGTTGCTGTCATTTTCAGTTGCTTCCACTTTGTTATAATACCACTAATAGTTGACCGTGGAATATTTAGTAGAAAGAAAATTTCACAGATGGACTTATTGCACGGGTGGCAACCTATCACAGTAAAATGAATGAGTGCTCTGCTACTGCATAAATAATAAATGGACATATAAATGAATAAAATATTAAAATAAATGCACATTTAACCCTCATCCAAGTGTGAAGACAACAAATTGCTGACAGCAACAAGTGCAGAAATCATTACCAAAAATGGTAAGTGCAGACAATATCAAACATCAGTAAAGCAACACAGTGTACTTGTGATATACCAGTGACTAGGTGAACAAAAATTATGTAAATATAAATAATACATTCTGAGGAACAAAATGTGACACATTGAATATGTCCTAAAATGAATAGTAACAGTCCCAAAAACAGGAACACAGTGAATCTTCAGCATAAGCCGTGAGACATCCAGTGAACAAATGTAATCAATCAATCCTCCACCAGCTAGTGTGCGTGCTCACTTCCAAACTGCAACCCACACGGGGTCACAAAGCATATAGAAAACCCCAAACGATGATCTCAAATAGATGGTCCTCGATAACAATCAAAAAAAGGGGTGTCCTCTCTGGTGATGCTGGCAGACACTCACAGGCGTACCTCAGATATGGTTACAGATCTCTTTTACCTCCAGTATCACCACATGGAAGATTTAACTTCCCTGGCGGTATGATTATTTCAGATTTTTGGTGATGAAAGCGGTTCCATTATTTTGCATGGAAATATGTAGTTTTTTTATTGTAGGCCTGTAATTTTTAGGAATAACTTACTGAAATCTGGTCGAACAAGAGTCTAGTAAGCTTTCCGGATATGATAAAACTTGAAACACGAAATCAAACTATAATTTAATAAATATGAATCATAAAAAAAATAATATAATAATATAAGAGTGACTACACACATTAAAGTGGGGTCCGCAGACCCCATTTCCATGTTTTGTGTACTGTGGGAGACCAGTCAATGCAGGGTCCTGGGTTTAGTAACAGTTTAACCGATTACTGACTGCCTTGTAGCAGAAGTACTGCTACAAGGCGGCAGGGATTATATATATATATATATATATATATATATATATATATGTGATTTTGTATTCCTGGGTAGGGGGCACACGCCCGTGCACCCTACACGTGCCGCTATTGGCTCATTGGCAATCACTGGGTCGCAGCCGCCGATTCTCGGCCAGGACTCGTTGATCGTCGGCAGAGCTGACAGGGGAGAGGTCTGTACATAAACAATACAGATTTCTCCCCTGTCAGCAGGCAGCTTGTCTTCATAGTAAACCGCAACACATCACACAGTTAACCCCTTGATCGCCCCAGATCTTAACCCCTTCTTGCCCAGTGTCATTAGTACAGTGACAGTGCTATTAATTAGCACTGATCACTGTATTAGTGTCACTGGGGATGCAATAAGTTGCTGATCGCCAGCATTACTAGTAAAAACAAATTCTAGTATACATATCGCCATTTGTAGATGCTATAACTTTCACGTAAACCAATTAATTTACACGTATTGGGATTTGTTTTAGCAAAGACGTAGCAGGTACATTTTGGCCTAAATTTATGAAGAAATTTTATTTTTAACATTTTTTTACGGGACATGTTTTATAGCAAAAAAGTAAAAAAAATATTTTTTTAATATTGTCTGTCTTTTTTTTCCTAGCGCAAAGAATAAAAACTGCACAGGTGATCAAATACCACTGAAAGAAAGTTCTATTTGTGGGAACAAAAGGACATCAATTTAATTTATGTACATTGTTGCATGACCGCGCAGTTGTCAGTTAAAGTAACGTAGTGCCGTATTGCAAAAAAATGGCCTGGTCAGGAAGGGGTGTAAATCCTCTGGAGGGCAAGTGGTTAATGATAAAAATAAGTCCATGAATTTGTGTTTGTTTATATCTTTTTAGAGTTCAGTTTTAACTGCACTT